TATATAACTGTTGATGGTATATACCAAAACAATATATACCTTGAAGTATTGTGTCAAAATCTAATCAACTCCCTAACATGATTTTTATGATTTGGAAAAAAAATCAATGAAAAACTATAGTTACCAACAAAATAGCTAAAGAATGTACAACAAACACATAACCAAGGAACAAGTGCTAATTAAGATTAATAAATTGTATAGAAAAATTCCAAACTTGCAATTATATAGCCATTTGAGGGCTTCCGAGAAAATAGAACTAAAACAAAGATTAAACTCAAAATCTCACACCCATCTCTTCGGTAGAAGACATCACCATCATGTATCTCTACAAACAAACAACAGATATCTAAACCATACATATGAATCCAAGCTAACACCAGCGACCCATGTAAATAAAAAAAACATCTATTTAATAGATTCAATTTTTTTTTCGAGAATGTTAAAATTACACCATCTATAGTAGTAAAAGGAAATCTGTGTATATACCCATAATTGTTAAAAATATATCTCTTTATCGAACTTGGGTATACGCAAAGAGTGACCACATAGTTGACGACGACGATGGAGGTAGATATGCAAGGTTTGATTGTGGATTTTTTTAAACAAGGTCTAATGACCAAAGTCTCGAGGGAAAGCAGTAACGTCAACAGTGAAAAAATGTACTACGAAAAATAGCAATGACAGTGAGCAAGATGTGCAACATTGGTGGTTTGTTCACACGCGGTCTTCTACCGAAAAATGCCACAGAAAAAGGATTCTAGGTCTTCGTTGTTGCAATAGTCTTCTACGTGGGTGTGGTGGTGTTTGAGGGATTTTAGGTTTTCAAATTAGAGATTTTAGGGATTTAAGAATTTCAAAACAAAAATTAGGGAATTCATGAGATTACATGGCGGCAAGATTTTAGGGATTTCAAAATAAAAATTTGGAAGCTGAGGGATTTTAGGTTTTCAAATTAGAGATTTTAGGGATTTAAGAATTTCAAAACAAAAATTAGGGAATTCATGAAATTACATGGCGGCAAGATTTTAGGGATTTCAAAATAAAAATTTGGAAGTTGCCGAATTCTAAATTTATTCCATATTTGATTTGATTTTTTATCCCACCTAGGAGTAGGAATGTTCACGGGTTGGTTCGGTCGGGTTAGGGGTACTTTTGGGACCAACCATATGTGGAAATCAACAGGTTAAAAATTGATGACCAAACCAACCTAAAATTTTCGGGTTGGGTTGTCGGTTTGTCCCTTCTTTTTTTAATTTTAATTTTATTGTTTATAACCTAGACGAAAAAAGTGTAAAAAAATTAAAACAGGAGAATCAAGAAGATGATTGATCTTTTTTCCAAATCTTCCAAATCTCCCAAATTTACAGTTTGAAATATAAAGCAAAAGAGAGAGAAAAAAAACCATCTGCTCACTGAATATAAAGCAAAAAAAAAAAATGCAGTGAAGAAGGTCTATGACGGAAGATCTTGTACGTCAAAAGAAAAGAATGAGATGATTCATTCCTCCTCCCTACTTCAAATCAGTGGTGAAGGAGGTCTGCGACCAGACGACGAGTGCAGGGGCAACGATTGGAACGAGACGCAAGGTCAGTGGCAGCCACGGGTATAGCGGGCAGCAGACAGCGGCGACCGGGATGCAAGGGCGGCAGCAGCCGCGGGTGGCAGTGGGTGGTGACGGAACTGCAGGGACGGCGATGAGTGCAGCAAGAAGCTTGAGTGAGGAGATAAGAGAAAACTTGAGGATGAGATTAATCAAATAAGGGAGGTCAAAATGACGGAGAAGTGAAAATCCTAGATGTTAAAGAAAGGGTTGAGATTAAAACTCAACCAATGGTTGAGATTGAAGATAATAAATGTATTATATATATATATATATATTAAATAAGGCTAATTCGGGTTGGGTTGGGTCAACCCGAATTTTTTAAGGGCCAACCCGAGACCCGACCCAACCTGATCAGGTTGGGAAATTCCCAACCCAACCCAAATCGAGGTTTAATTAAACCCAACCCAACGGTTGGGTTGGGTTCGTCGGGTTGTCAGGTTTTTTGAACACCCCCATCTAGGAGTAATTTTTTTAATGGATTCCACCAAAATAGACTAATTGTGCATTAATCTCATTTCTTAATCGTCTCTTTTTACAATGGAATTAGTACATTGATAGGTTATTTAGAGACTATAATTACATAAAAGAATTGAATGTATAAAATTTACACTTTTGTCGTTAAACAACTCTAAGATGTAACTATCATCCTATATCCTTTTGTATCTACACCTCAAAATTAATTAATTTTTAAAATCCAAAATTAGTTACTTGCGAGGTTACAATTTAAATCCCTACCTAATTATAAAGTAAAAAATACCAAATCCTCAAAATACTAATCAAATCCCCAAAATCCTCAAGTATTGAAAATTTTTGAAAACCTCCTTCCGATTGTTCTTCTCCCTCGGTCGTTCTGTTTCCGTCTCTTCGTTCGTCTCCGATCGTCGTCTGCGTTCCTTCTTCTCCGGTTGTCATCTTCGTTCTTCTTCATCGCCAGAGCAGTCCTTCAACTATTATTCTTCCTCTGTCGTTCAGTTTTCGTCCACTACTTCGCTCCGACCGTCGTCTGCATTCTTTCGTCTCCGGTTTCCGTCTCCATTCTTCTCCATCGCTGGAGTAGTCCATCTAGCTTCTCCTTCATATTCGTTTATCCTTACCATTGTCTAGTCGTCAACCGAATGGTTTGTTTTGTCTCACCATATAAAGTTTATATCCTTCTAGTTTTCGATTTCAAATTTGAACAATGTTGAAAACCCTGA